CTTGCTAATAAATAAAGTGTTGTTCGATAAATATAAGCATTTTCTTCACCAAGCATTCCACCATAAAAATTTTTAAATATTTCATAAAAACCAAATTTTCCAAGACCTTGTAAAGAATAACCAATTAATGTTGGTGCCCAACCTTTAGTTAAACCAAATAAACCTTCTTCTCTAAATTCAATCAATTGAATTTTAATTATTAAAATATAAAGATAAGAATTCAAAACATACGCAATAGTTATTTTAAAACCATTAATGAGATTCACATATTTTTGTGGTTTTACTTGTAAACGACATTTGATAAGATCCTATAAACAAAATAAAAAAAAGTCTCGTATATTATTTATTTTTAGAGCATGTAGAATTGGTTTCGAACTCGGGAAATTTTCTGATAATCGGATTTGAAAATTTTTTGAATCCGACCAACTATATTTCTTTGATAGTTAAAAGAATTTCATAACTCATCAAAACAAAAAACAAATTTTATTCATAAAATTTAAAAAGATTATTTGAAATTTTCTAGTTCATATGAAAACAATATAAAATTTATCAAATATTTATCATATTTTAAGATAAGGTAAAAATTAAGAAAAAGAAAAAAAAGAAATTTTATCAGTCTATCAAAATCAATAATAACATACAATTGGAACAAGTGCTGTATGTGTTATACCACAGCTTAACATTCCAGCAATACCACAATAAATATAATATTTAATAGAACCATATTCGCAACTGTAATGTTCTACAAAATAAGACAAAAATAATAAATAATTATAATTATTTATATAATTTATATACCTTTTCCAGGCGAATGACTTAAAGAAGAAAAATTACCTAATTCAATAATTGATCGTAATACTGTTACCTATAACATAGATATAAATTTTAAAAAAATTCTCATTCTATTTTCTATATATAATACTTACTATACATTTGTAGGGAATTATTGTTAAAACACGTATGACTGTGAGAATAGAAACAACACATTTGTTTTCAAGGAAATTTTGTGATATCATGGTTGACCAACGAGAACGGGTTGTATGATGATTTCCGTAAATAGAATATGCTTGATGATGATAATGCGCTCTAGACGAAAGAAAAAAGTAAATAGAAAACATCTTATATAAAGTCTGTAAAAGATTAAGTGTTTTATTAAGTAAAAAAAAAAATACTATCATTTGAATAGAAATACTTACTGTTTATCAATTATGAGATTCTTACGTTTGAATAACATGTGATACATATGGAAAAAGAATACTTTTTCATATTGCAAAGCTTTCTTTCTTTTTTTTTTTTTTAATATAAATATTAGAATGCGATAACTTTTCGTTATGTTTTCTTCCCACTGCACAAATGTATGTGTACACAAGGACAGTGAATTTTTTTTTTTTTCTTTTACTATTTGACATTGAATCGTTCTGTTTCTCGTCATGGTCATTGTTCTTTCATTACAGAGAAAAGAAAAATCATCTGATTCTGTTGAATTTGATTTTATTGGAAGAGTTACGAAGAAAAAAAATAAATAAAAAAAGAATATTATATTTACTTGGTATTTTTCATTTAGAACATTTTGGAACTATACATGACGACTATATTGATATATGACAGAAGAAATAAAAAAACTGACGTAATTGATCTAGAAACAAAAACTGAATATCATAATTAGTTTATACTATTTATTCAATTGAAGTTTAATGAATAAAACAAATGATTGTGTGAATGTTTGTTGAATTGAATGAATATTATTGATAAATTTAATTGTTTCTTCACAAAAATTATTGTTTAATGTTATACATGTCTACTACCGAAAATAAAAATATAATTAACATTTTTTTTTTCTAATGCAAATTTGCTTATGTTTTTTTATTTTTTATATGAATTGGTAAATGATGGAAATATTGATTAGACCTATCAAGGAGGCCTATCGAAAACATACTTTTCATATTAATAAAAAATATACTGTGTACTTTACTAATGTGGTAAACAACAAGGGTTTTAGACAAAGAAAAAAAACAATGAAACGGTAGAACAATCTATCTTGTATCTGTTAATGAAGATTTTTAATAGAAAAATTCGATAAAAATTCACCCTGTGATCATATTCGAAAGTTTTCATAAAAATTCATCTATATATATAAATAATATTAACTTATCGAATCCCAAAATGGATCAAACGTCTGTTTATGACAGATTTTCTATTGGTTTAAAACAGTCATAATTTTGTATTTACTTATCATCATGTTACAGCTCATTGATAGTGTCGAAAAAGTCAACTAGATCATAATAATAATGTTTTACGGAAACTTCTTATTCTTATTATGATTTCACATAATAAAAACAAAAACATTTAAAACAAGAGCTACAATTTGTGGCTCCATCTATTATAAAATAACTAATACTAAATTTCGTTTTAATTTCATAGCGAAAAATTACTAAAATAGGTGTCAATTTTTATTTAAAGCATTCATAATTGGTAAAAAAAAAAACGATTTTTGGAGAACGCATTTAGACATGTCCTTTGACGATCACGTTCGAAGACTAGCAGAAAACACTTTCTAGCACAAGAAAACCCAAAAGATTCTTCAAAACGCCATTTCAAAAAACGAGATTTATTAAGAAAAAAATGTGTTTCTAACCGTTATTTTTAATAAGCTGTTTCCATGACTAGAAAGTGGAAGTTGAATGTTAAACAAACTTATTTAGGTATATATGTAATTTCTCTTTACTATATAAGTAAAATTATAAAACACATCGATTTCAAATTCATGGATCATTCTTTTGTCTTTTTCTCTTCAATGTTTTATTTTTATATTTAATGGCAAAAATCTTGCAGCTGTACATTAATTTTATTTGTTTTAATCTTCGTCATCTACAATGTGTTACACGCAAGAGGATACATTTGAGATGTAATTATAGTTCCATGTATGACTATCTTCTTTTGTAAGAAAAATAGAATTGAAACGAAAATAAGAATAGTTTCTTTAAAAAATCATGGAAAAGTTAAACAACTTAGTTTTTACGATTCAATTAAGTTTATTTTGTATGTTTGACACAGAAAAAATGAAGGAAAGTATTTTATTCTAGCTATAAATTGCGATATAGATCTATTATTCACAAAAGAATTATCAACTATATACTTTACTTGATAATAAAAAAAAACGGTTTATTTTTTACCTATTGACCTGATGTCGTTTTACAGAACAGAAGATTTAAATAGAAAAAAACCAAACAATTATTTTCAAATGCCGACAATTTGAAATTTGAGCAGGATTTTATTGACATTGTTGGATAGATTTCATCGAGCTACGTTTAATATTATTGCTTTTGATATATTGAAACAATATTAATGTAGCAAAACCTACGAAAATTAGTTTATAAGAATCATAAAAGCCTATAAAACCAAAGAATACATCAAGTTTCTCAGTACCGCCAATATTCAACTCATATTTTCTTTTAATTTTACTCTTTATATGATATTATCCCACTCATCAAAAAAACCAGTATCGAAAAGTATACTGAATGGTTTCGGTTCTTATACACCACATCCTCCGTATTTTCTTCTAGTAATCTGTTCTGTGATTCCGATAAGATCGAACTTCTTTTTTTCTACGTATTGAATTTGGAATCGAAGTTCTTATGATCAAAATCTTTGAATACAAAGCTGTAGTTATGGTGTCTTATTATCATATAGAACAAATCGATTTTCTCAACAATGAAATAATTTTTCTCAGAAAGCATCCGTAATTTTTTCCTCATCATATGAAGAATAAAACTAAAATAAACTACCGAATAGATTATGAGGGTATTGTGATTTGATCTATTTTCATGTTTTTAGCTTCCACTGGTTCTTTTTAATGTAATTTTCCTAAGTTTTACTACACAACTATTGTTTGAATATGTTGAAAAAATAACATTGCACAAGTTTCGAATTACCGGCACTTTAAAACGATTGTTTTGACACATTTATACTAGTTTGTGTCGAATTCCATTTACTACCTTCGGTATCATCAACAAAGCATGTGTTTTAAAGAAAAAAACTGAATGATTGATGCATATTTGAGGATTATTTTGTTTTACTTTGAAGTTAATATTTTTTTCGATTTATTTGTTGACTTATGTCATATGTTTTCAAGTAGGAAAATAAAAAGAAAAATTTTTGTCTGAAAAATGGCTTGATAATACATGGAATATGAAACCAGCTACTGCAGACATTCACAATATCATAGAGAGGAAAAGAAAAAAAGGTGGAATAGATAAGGTTTTCGCAGACTCCAGCACAAACTATTGACAATGAAACATGACAGTCAATTGAATAAATGGTTTTCAATTTTATTTTGTTACTTTAATGGCTTACAAGAAAACTAACCGAGCTGATACTTACCATTTGAGCTCATATTGAGTTCACAACAAAGTCTTAGTAAAGTTAGAAATATCCTAAAAGAATTCACGACCATGAACCTGTGCATCCAAGGTATGATTATTTTCCATTAAGATTTTGATATTTACCGAACAATTAAATAATGGTATTTTGAGCTGAAATTTCGCCAATGAACAGGTATCGAAAATTGAGTAAAACGATCATAACTTGGTCTCAGAGATCTATGAGTACGAATACTTTTCGGATTTTTCTATTCTTACTGAGACCTCTTTGGGAACTCATTATGAGCTCAACTGGCGGTATCATTTCGGATAGTTTTACTCCGAAGTAGAAAAAGACAACATAGATTTAATTTAGCAACTAATCAATTTTATTTCTAATTTTAATTGTTAGAAATTCGAATCTACTATAAAATAGTTATACTTGAATAAATTCATATTAGATTTTACAAAGTTTTTATTCATCTGATTTTGAATATTGATAAAAAAAAAAAGAACATAACAGATATCTTTCCTTGACAACCATTTATTCTTATCGAATTTATCTTCTATAAATACATACCTACATTCCTTTTGTTTACATAGTGATATTGACAAGTGTTCTATATTGATGATATTATCACAATGTATTCATCGATTATACGAACTCTATATTGGGGTTACTGGGCTAATATTATATATATTATTGGTATGATAGGATATTTAATAATCGATACAATTAGTTATATGTATATATCACTCAATACGATATTTTCATTTATTATTTATTTATTACTTGCTATTGTTTTTGTAATCGATGCAATTTTATATACAATTGATTGGTATATGTATGCTGTAAAATTACGAAAAAATAAAGATCAACCAATACAATATCAATCTGAATTTTTAGCATGTATTTTTCAACATCTTGGTAGTATATTTTATTTCATTGGTGCTATTTTAGCTTTTAATAAAATTTATTTAATAAAAAAATTATTATTTAATCTTCTGGGTATTTTTTCATTTTTAATTGAATCTATATTTACTTTACTTGGTTGGATAATACTATTTCGAAGAAAACTTTCAAAAACCAATTGTAGTCTTCAAGTAAGAAATTAATAAAATAAATAAATAAATTATATATATATAAATCTATGTTTATAGAATATTTATATATGGGCACATACATTGAATATTATTGCTAATCTAATATATTTATGTGCAACAATATTAGCATATTATTTTTATAGAAATGACAAGATGATGAATTCAACAATTGTACTTGTATTACAAATATTCGGTGATATTGTCTATCTAATCGATGCTTATCTTTATCATGAATGTTGGCAACGAGATAAAGAAGAATTTGATGTTGTAACAGAACAACAAAGTTTAAATAAATTTTATTTAGAAAAATTTGTTCATCAAAGTAAAACTAATGAAAATAAATAAAAAACTGAGAAACAGAAGAGGAAAAAGAAGAAAAAAGAAAAACATCTCATCAACCAATCAGTTTCAATTGACTAATATTGTCTTTTTCTCTTAACAGAACAAAAAAATAACATTACTAATGATTAACTATTAAATCAATTAAGATAAATATATAATTTCACTTTGAATAAAAATTCTTTATTTTCTAAGGCATATAATACTTAACATGTCAGTAAAAACAATAGAATCTGAAGTTTTTGAATTTTTCAGCTTGAAAAAAAAAGAATTTTCTTCGATATAAACGATAATTGCCATTCTAGATCCAGGAGCATAGTTTATAGGGAGCCTAAAGCCTCCTATTGCTAAAATTTGTCTACACCATGTTCTCTCTAGATCTTTTACTGTGTTAAATATCAAAGTTATTTGAAGAGAAACAAACTTTCAGTACCATTGAAACTTGTCCATGGTACATTAAGAAATTATAGAATACATTTTTTAGCAAACCTATGTCCACAATTTGTATTACTATTCTATTAAAACTCTTACAATTCAACATATAAAAATCCTCGAGATTGACGTGAATAATAATTGGTAAATAAAATATTAATTTTGTTACTATCAAAGAAATCAGACATATCATTGCTATGGTCTTAAAAATTGACAAGCAACAAAAAAAAAACATTGTCTGTCTTTTTCTCTCTCTCTCTCTCTCTTTGGCCTATTATTTATACTTGTCTTACTTTATTGTTATTAATTCCGGAATTCATCTATCACATACGTTGATCTTATTAGTGTATTCAGTTGATTGATAGTATGTTTATCAATTGATATTCGACAATAGAGAACCATTTCTTTTTATTAACAAAACATTTTTATGTTCTTATTGTCGTTCGTGTTCAAATGACAATCAAACAGATTAGTTCGCTTACAAACGTTTATTAGAAATCAAATATGTCTCATGATGTCTGATGTCACACATATAACACATATTCATGATTAAATAGATGGAATCGTAGTGTGAGACTAATGCGATTAGATCATCATCATTATTATCAACAATATCATGTTGTTCGATATAAACGAAGAATCAAGAGAAAATACAAGAAAAAAAAAAAAGAAAATCGTCAAGAAGATTGATGTCAACTAATTTTGACTAAAAGGCTAAATATAGATAATTGAGATGGGTCTGTTTTTCTCATTGAATAAATAAACTTACGACAATGAATGATAACAGTTTGTACCAACAATATAGACAATAATCGTACTAATGAACTAACATCACTGCCGGGCTATAATATATCAGAGGAACAAAAAAGAAGCTTTATGCATCAAAAGAAAAGTAGCCGCCATTCGATCTAAGAGAAAGACATAGACATTAATTCATAAAAGAAGAAAACATTGTTTTATATGTCGACTAAACTCTTCTGGTAAACATCCGTTATAGTGACACCATCATCATTATTTTCTCGCACATTATCGATCAATCAATTGCATTTAGTAAACGAACAATAAGAATTAAAAAAAGAAAAACGAAAATTAGCATAGATGCTAAAAAGCTAGGAATAATGTTATGATATGAAAAAAAAAATCATTTGGATAAATTCTATATATATTTTTTTTTTGTTTGTAAAAGTGAATATGAATATGCGTATACAGAGAGAGAGCGTTAGCGCGAAAAAAAAAAGAGACATTAAAACAAAAACAACAAGAAAATACCACGAACAATAGTATGTATATGTATATGTATATATATATTTGTGTATGTGTGTATGTTAATATGATAAAATGTTAAGTTCAACGATCTCCAGTTTTATTTGCTGCTACTGCTGCGGCTGTTTCTTGTTGATGACGTTTAAGAAGTTTTTCATAAGCAGCTGCTAATGCTACTGGATGTGTCTGAGCAAAATGAAGAAAATTGACAGACGGTGGATACATATTAGTAAATTGATGTGTTGGAGGTAGTGGTGCTAATGGTGGTGGTAATAATGGTAAATGATTTTCACGTTGAGTTTGATTATTTGTTTGAGGAGTGAAAAACATAGGTGCACGAAAATCAAATGATGATCCATTTTGATGTGGTGCTGTTGTTATTGGTGTAAAAGCTGATTTTGTTATTGCTGCTGCTGTTGTTGTTGCTGATGGTGATGATGATGTTATATCACTTTGTAATTGATTTTGAAATGATATAATATTATCACCTAATGTTATAAAATGATCAATTGTTTTAGCTAAATCACCTTGACATGTTGATAAAGCAGTCATTAATACTGAACGTTTTTGCATAGGAAAAACTCGTTCAAGTATATCAACATGTGACATATTTTGTCGACGAATTTTACTACGTGGTGATATAGTATTTGTGTGTTGATCATCAATAATTGAACCTGATGAATCTTCATTTGAATGTATACCTGATGTATTTGATGTTGTTGTTGTACCGTCATCAGCACTTCGTTTTGTTGAACTTGTTGGACTACTACCTGTTTTTGGTGATGATCCTGATATAATTGATTCATGATCATTTCGTGGAGAATTTGATGATGAAGCATGATCACCTGAATAAATACATTAAAAAATCTTACTTCGTTTTTTTCTTTTCAACTTTTTTTTTTCTATGTTAGTCTATAAACTCTTAAACACGTACGTTTTCTCTTCTTCATCTTATTGACATATTCTCATATAAGAAACTACATGCACAAACATATAATGTCGGCATTTAGTTTATTATATATGAATGAAAATTCTACAAACTATCAAATTTACCTTCATCATCATCTTCATGACTACCATTGGATGATGTTACAGTACCCCAAACTGGTCCAGGCTAAATAATTACAAAAATAAGAAGAAAAAAGAAAGTTTTATTTTTGTTGTTTTGAAATAAAAATAATTTTACTTACTGGTAATTGATTATAAGGTGATAGACAACGAACACGTAATGCAATAGCATCTTCACTAGCTTGTTGTCGTTTTAATGCAACTTGTGCAGCCATAACACGTTGTCGTTCAGCAATAAGAATACATTTAGCACAAGCACAATCACGAAATTTACAATGACGTTTATGTCCTTTTAACCATGATATCATTCCATGATTTCGACAACGTGCACATTTTGGACGACGTATACCACGTTGTTCACCTAATTGATAAGTGACTTGTGGAACAGCAGTCGTATTAGATGATGATGACGTTGACATCAAACCAACGATATTCATATGTGCATTCGACACAAGGTTAGATACAGCAAAAAAGAAAAAGAAATGAAGAAAAAGAATATATGATTAGTTCGTCAGTTGCCCTTTTCTCCAACGGGAAGCCAGTCCGATATGTTGGTATCGTTTTAGCTTGCTGTGTTCTTTTTTTTTTCTTTTTGTCGTATTACTTTTCTCGATACTCTTTCTTTTCTTATTGGCTCCTGTTTGTCATTGGTTCTCATCGATGGCTACAGCCAATTGTATAAGCGAAAGAATATATCCCACTCGATTAGTATCTCTCTTTTTTTTTCTTTTTCTTTCTTGCATTTTGCTTGTCTACAAAAATACTAGAACAACAGAAAAAAGCAGATACGTGCCATTTGAAGCATTGAGATGGATTGCAATTTTCTATGTTCTCTTCCCTTTCGGGTGTGGATATTAATATTGATGTATGTGTAGGCTGCAGGAGGCCGTATTGAAACAAAGAATAAGCGCAAGCAAGCAAAAAAATGCAAAAGGCGACAGAGATAATGTTACGAAAGCGTCTGCATACATTCTCATAAAAGTAAAAAAAGAAAAAGAAAGAATAAGTTCTTCAATGAATGATTATGAGTATTGGAATGATAATCGATGTATACAATAATTTTATCGAAATACTATATTGTATTTTTTTCTGTCTGTTTATTGATCTAATTTTTTCATTAGACCGTTTAAAGATGATATTCTGTCATGTGTTCATCATTTTAAACAAAATATAGGACAGATGTGTGTGTCGAATTAAATGATTTGTAAATAAAAGAATATATTTATGAAATATAAACTTTGTTTAATAAAAAAAAAAGAAAAAAAAAAAAAAGGAAAAATGTGAAAATAGTTCATGCTTTCACATATGTATAGTCATCATCAATTAGTATGATTTGTTATCATGACCTCCTCCTTTTCTTTATAATCGCACAAACTGATCTTCTGAACATGGAGCGGCGCGGCAGGGACACATGGTGTGTTTGCCGTTTAGCAAGTAAATATCGCAAAATATACATCCAATGATTAGGTCAAACTGAACAAGATCGTCTCGTTTTTATAAGAAGTACTCAACATATATATATATATAGTCTTATATTTGTTTTTATTCAAACATTGTTCTACAAGTAATAGAATGAAAAGATAAGACATAGTTGATGTCTATGTTTTATAACAAAATAATAGTACGTTCTATTGATAAGTGACGAGTCACTCAACAAATAACAACGACAACAATAATGGTGCTTGCATTGTGTTCCCATACACTTGTATTATCACTCAATTTGTCCTATTCAAAGATTAGAATAGACAGACGACGTGTTGCTTATATTTTTCTTTTAATAGATGAATATATTGAGCTAAGATAAACTAAAGTTATAGCCCATTCAAAAAATGAAATTATCTAAATATCAATAGAATTAGCTTTAGATAAAAATAGTCAGAATAATTAACGTATATTGAGAATTAAAAAAAAAGAAAGAGTAAAACTTAACTCGTTAAAGATTGTATCAGATCAACAAGTGAGATTTCATCATCTAATTGTTTGACCTGAGTAGCTGCCAAAAAAAAAATCTGATGTAATCATAGCAATCTTCTTCGATAATTTATCAAAAGCTTTTAATCATATAGATTAAATAAATACTTCAGAAAAGATAAATAAGAGGCAGAAAAAAAAAGAAGACTAATTGAAAGCAACAAATTTTCAATTTAGTTTATGAAATACTCATATTGACATAATATAATTTAATATGATGATTATTATGTTTTTCTCTCTTCGTTTCATCATATAGAATTTCTTCTTCTTCTGCTGTTAATGTTGCTCAGTGAATAAATGATTGAATAACACAACCAATAATAAATATTGAAAGTTTCACGTTATTTTTGCTAAAAGATTACTGATAAGAAATTTATATTATACACGATTAATCAAGTCATACGAGAAAAATCTTAATTACATTGCAAACAATCAATCATATATTTTACATAGAAAGAGTTTCCGACATGAAGAAAAATATTGAAAATAATGTCCAATGAAATGATAATAGAATTTATAATCTTCCAAATAGAAAAAAAAACACAGATTTGATTATGTTTATTGGTTATTGATTGAAAACGAGAGAGAGAAACAGAAAAGTAAATAAAAATATTCGCGTTTCTTATAAAATATTCACTTCAATGAAACTTTTTCTTAATCATAAATATTCTTTCTTTTTTTGTATAATACGTTTTACATGATCAATATTTTCACGTACGGATAAGTTGCGGTATGATATAGGACGTTTGAAATCGACTCTCCATCTTCCTGTCATCCGCTTTCTCAAAATTAAGACAAACATTAAATGCTTACCTAACTTTTGATTGTCATTCAAAATACATATGTCATACCGCCGCCGCTCAACACAATATAATTGTTTTATCGTCAAAGATGACATGTACATATACAATAGAGAAAGAATACTCTTTGAAATACGATAGGATATGTCTCAGACTTCCATATTAAGCTAGCCGTGAATAGACGATGTTTAAAATTCATATACGAAGTAAGACATTTGTATGATCAATGATATATTTAGATTTATAATGAATTAATAAAAGAAAAGATTCTGTCAATATTAATAAGATATGTATGAATTCATAGGCGTTTATTGTTTCAACTTATGAAAATAAGTAAAAAATTAAATAATAGTGAGCACATTAAGTCATATGACCATTTTTTTTCCTTAAAGAAAATTAAAATCAATTAGTCTCATATCAATATATACAATATAGCAATTGTGTATTTCGATTTCTCGGAGATCTCATCGCTAGAAAACTAGTAATCATTTTCCTTATTGAAAATTTACTACAAAAACCACTATTTAGATTCTTATTAGCATTTATGGCAATAGAAAAACACTGAAAATAAGCTTGGTTGAATAATTTTACAAGTCACTGTATGTATCACTAAAATGAATTTTTAGATTTGATGTTATGAATACATTGAGCACCAACACAAAAAATATAGAACTATCGAGCATTAATTCAAGAAAACATTATATCGCCTGATCAATCGTTAGAAGATCATTTCTATTCTAAATTGTTTTCATTTTCGAAAATCACACCAAATAAAGAATAGATTATCAGGAAAAGAAATATTGTTACATGCATCTTCGAATTATTTTTAGTCATAGGCATGCATTTTCTTCAGTATCAATAAATCTTCATATTGTTATTGTCTTTATTGTAAATGAAAATTGCTTTTATAATTTTTCTAAACTAATACTGTATGTTGTTAAGATTTTTTGTCTCATTATTCAAGTCCTTTATGATGCATAGAACAAAGTTCGAAAAGTACATTAGTCCAAATTTTTACTTTCATTTTCGTCAATATTCAATTTTAATACAAAGAAACGTTCTAAATAATTTTTCGAGCCGCCACAATATCAATTAAATAAAAATTCTAAAATATTTCATTTAGCAAGTCTTAAAATAATAAATTTAGAAAGAAGTTCGTTTTGAATACTATTCCTATATCAATCATACTTTGTAATTTTACACTTAAATTTCTCATATTTCAAAAAAAAAAAGCTTCTGTTGTTTTAATTCATTAAATCAAAATTTACTTTTCTAAAAATAAACATCGATGATAAATCATTCAAGTATTCAACAGCATCATATACCACGTAGAAAAAAAAACGGAAAACTTTTTATATAAAATTCTCAAATATATATATATATAAGAAAGAATTAAAATAGAGAGCATATATATTATTCTTTCAAATTTAACTTCGAACTGACATATTATCATCAACATCGCCTTGTAAATCATTATATGAATTTTGATCAAGTAATAATATATCGTCTTGATCTGGTGCATTACCAATACTTGAATCAGGACTATGTTTTGATGGATCAATTTGAAAATCATTTGTTGGTGCTGATTTTGTTCCACGACGATCACTTGTTCGACTATCATTTCTATTTGTATTATCTTTACGTGTAAAAACGGGAACAGTTCTTGATATTTGTCGTCGAAGTTGATTTTTTATATTAGCTGTTTTAGCATCAAATAAATCTTTTATACGTGATTTTGCTGATAAACGAAGCGTAAATTCTGATGACATCATAGCTGGTGGTGCTGAACCACCAAATTTTAATCGAATATTTTGACTTGTTCCATTTGCACCTTGAATTGTTGGTGTATCAACAGATGGATGTGATGAATTACGACAACCTGTTGCATTTGTTGATGGTAAAAATGAGTCTATTATATACAAAAATAAAATAATAGTAAAAACAAAATAAAACAAAAGAAAATAATATTATCAATTAAACCTGATCGTTGTATATCAAAATCATCAAAACGTTTTATTTCATCGGATGTATTAGGTCGTGGTGCATCAAGACGATCATCTTCTAAACCTAAATAACTTATAACAAGGTCACGTAATTGTTCATAACCATCTTCAAGACTATCTGTAAAACACAAAATAGAATAAATATTAATAAAAAAAAAAAACAAAAAGAAAACAAATAATTCAAATATTTTTTTTTGTTTTTATACTTGTTGAAATAAATGCATCAAAAAAACCAGGATGTGTTCGATTGTATTCAGCATAAAGTTCAACACGATTTAATGCCATGGTTATTTCACCTTCTTCAAAACCTTGTAATTGTAAACGACGTCTATGAATTTGTTGATCCATTGGTAAAAGAAGTACACAACGAGGTTCAAAATGAGATTGTTTTATTGATAAAAGACCCTAGTATTGTTTTGAAATTTAAGCATTAATTTATTAAAAACAACAATTTTATTTACTTCAAGTTCAATTTGTACGACACATGCTAAACCTTCTCGTGCAACATTTTCAATTGATGAACGTTGAAGACCATTCCAATCACCATAATATTCATAACAACATAAAAATTCACCCTAAATTTATCATAAAACAAGAGTTTTTTTCTTTCCGAAAAACAAAATATTCTTCACAAACTTTAGTAAC